TCCTGAACAACAAGAGGTCGTTGCCTACCACGGAGATGATCAAGCTTACGGAGGAGTGTAGCAACGCTATACCCCACCGGCTCCCGGAGAAGAAGGATCCGGGGTGTCCCACAATCTCATGCTCTATTAGGACACAACACTTCGATCAAGCCCTATGTGATCTCGGGGCTAGTGTAAGCGTCATGCCGAAGGACATCTTCGACAGGCTGAACTACACGGTGTTGATTCCAACACCCATGAGGCTCCAGCTGGCAGACTCCTCCGTCCGCTATCCAGCAGGCATCGCCGAGGATGTGCCAGTGAAGATTCGGGATTTCTTCGTCCCAGTGGATTTCGTGGTACTCGAGATGGACTCAGACAAGAAAACACCCTTGATCCTGGGCCGTCCATTCTTGAGTACCGCGGAAGCCAGCATTGATGTGGGGGCTAGGAACATCCGGTTCCACATCAATGGAAAGGATGAGAAGTTCGACTTCAGACCAAGAGCAGAGCAATGCTCTATGGTCAAGATCAAATACAGCCCGAATGCACGGAACATCAAGGAAGTTGAAGTGCAGCCGTGGAAGATGAACAACCTCATTGCCTTCATGAAGAAATCCCTAGAGATTGAACCAACCAGGAAGAGGCCACGTCCAAGGGAGACACCGACGAAAACTGGTGTCCAGGCCAAGGCGTATAAGTTGCCATTGGTGCTAGGACACTAGTTTTCGTCGGCTATTTTGCTCTCAAATTCATTCCAAGCTAGTGCAAGCATGCCTCATAATCAGAAACCGTCATTTGCATTTGCATATATAAGTTGCCATTGGTGCAAGGCTAACCGGCTGGTAGATTATCATGTGTTAGCTTAACCCCGCTCGAGTTTCGCCTTATGCTCTTGCTCTTTTTGCAGTCATGAGAAGACGGCTCTCTCACTTGTTCAAGGGGTCCGGCTCTCAATCCAGCCGTCAACAAGATGAGTCAAGTGATCGGTCGTCCGATGTGCTGATGGAGGATACGGGTGCCGAACCGCAACTCCTGACCGACGCTGATCTTGATCTTGTCAGTGGACGGGAACGTCAAGCCTACCGGATGCTGAAGGACCGAGTGTTCGCTCACACCCGAGCATACGATCCAGAGATGGCCCGGAAAATAGGTATGGATGTGGATTTTGGTGTTATTTGGAAAACTATGGGTTGGCATCTTTTGCAACAGTGGATGAGCCTGGCTCTCGTCTACTGACCATACATTAAAATTGGTTTCTTTTGTTGTTTCAATAGCTTTTTAGCTTGTATTTATTATGTGCCTTGTTTGTCGTTTAGACTCCGGCAGTTCCGACGCTCCAGTTTATTTTGAAGTGGTCGCCGAGGTCCCGTCAGCTGAAGAGCAAGGCAAGTCATACAGATATCATTGATCATATTGAGCCTATTTGCAAAAACCCCTGCTTTTCTCTCAAAATTGCATTGTTTTTATAATGTCATGTGGGATGGTTTTTACCCGTACTCAGCCTTTGTTTACCCTGATTCATTGATAGCCTGGGTTAATAATTTGACTAGATGATTGGTCTAGGATTGCTTAGCCATGCTTAGATCAACTAGCTCACAATGGGATTCAATATATTTACAGTCCTTAATTTCATGATGATGTTATGCCTACTTGGCATATGGTTATTTAATTAAAATATGCTTTACTTCGTGGGTCTTGGGCACATGCATGGTTTCTTTTGGTGGTTGGGCCCATGACAATTAAGGACCGGTTCTCGGAAATCCCTAGAATATATACTCGTACTAACCACAAGCCAAATGAGCTCCAGGCTGAATCTTAAGTATAATCTTTTCTAGCTAGCGCGCCATTGGCAAGGGTAGGCGTGATGGAGTATGGATGGACCTGGATTTTGGTCTATGCTGCTTCCGGATTTCCTAGGCACGAACGGGGGCTGCCTACTCCTGGATTTTGGAGTAGGGGCGAAACCAGAGGTGGGTGTGCTGGTTAGGGGTGGTTATATGGAGGGTTTTGTCACGATTTTCCCCTGCAGTATCATGGCGGTACTTCGGGGCATGGTTTCATGTGTGGAATCGTGTCTTGTGGGTAAAGTTGTACACCTCTGATCTGAGTAAAACTATTCGAATAGCCGTGCCCGCGCTTATTAGGTGGTCAACCAGCTCACCGTGATTAGTCTCACCCTAATAATTTGACTTAATGAACTGGTGTAGTTCAGGTGGTTTTGTGTTGGGCCTGTCGCAACGTGGTTTAGCGTTGGACAGTGTTGATGTTAATACTGCTTAATTTCATGAAGTGCTTGAACATGATGGTGTTGAAAAGTCAATGTTGACTGCATACTTCGAAGCGAATAGGTTACACAAGGAAACACGAGAAATATTGTACCGTGATTTTCCAGAGCATTATACTTGGCAGTCAGGAAAGAATGGAAAGTTTTGGCAAAAGAGGGAAAGAACTGCTATCTTTCAAGTTGGCAAAATCGTTACAGCCCATCTAGCTGAAGGCGAACGATACTATCTTTGGGTTCTCTTAAACCACGTGAAAGAACCCTAAAATAAACTTCTACTATTGCCTTTGTAAATGTTATGAAGCTTCCCAGTTCTCAATGTCTTCAAAGTGCCCTTTCAGGTCATTGTAAGAATCCAGTGGCTCAGTCTCTGTCAGTTTAACAGCAAAGGATCCAAGAAGTGGTGGCACCTGTAAACAATTACCAAAATGAAAGAGAATATTTTATTGAAAATTATAGTATTTGGACAAGAAAACAATATATACGCACGATAGCTCCATTTTACTTAAAATTGGAGAATATATATACTTTCACAATTCACAACATAGTTAATAGAGCAGATCTCACGAGATAACAAATAGTAAAATGGATCCTATATTCTTGGGAAGCGAATTAAAATAATTTAAAGAAGAAAAGAAAAACTATTTTGAGTATTGGGTGGATGTATATAGCAACTGTTAAGGCTAATTATGAGATATATATCTCCTTACTCCAAGTACGAGTAGACATATTGCAGAAGAAACCATGCATGTACACTCAGTTACTTAGAAAAGATAAAGTTTTAAATTAATACATGTGTCAAACCTAAATTCTTAAATCACCAATAATGTACACAGAGATTCTAAGTTTAGGTATGTGAAAATGGCATTAATAACTTCACTATGAATAATACTTTCTTGTAGTTGAAAGCTCAATATTTCTTATAAATACATGATTAGTAAAACAATAAAAAAATATGTCTAATGGAGACTCTTTCGATGTGCTAAATGTCAAGCACCAAGTATTAATGAAGGGAGTAGAACATATATATCAGCTCACAACCTTCTAGGCATATCTAATCAACTAGGGGATACCCCACAAATTCAAGAAAACAATTTATAAATTGTTTACTCGTAATATCTAAATTTACATTGTCTATATTAGTTGATGTGAAATTACAATTTTCTATATAACACTTGGATGCTTATGTATCAAATATGAGAGAAATCCAATGGCTATAATATTTTTTTTGTGTCATGATTCAATACACATGAAGCTTTATAGCAATAACTGTATTTAGTTGGTTGTAAATCCATATCACCAATGAAAGGTTGAGATCAAAGCATGAGAGAGATCCAAAGGCTATAATTTTCTAGATGATGTAGCTCAATTCATGTCAAGCTTTAGTTTTTCTATATTATTTTATGTGAAATTACAATTCTACATGACACTTTGATGCTTACGTATTAAACATGAAACGGATCTATTGGCTATTATAACATTTTAGGTGTCACAATTCAATGCACATGAAGTTTTATATAACAATAACTACACAGAGTTGTAAAGCATATGACAAATAAATGGTTGAGATCAAAGCATGACAATGATCCAAAGGCTACTACTCTCTCCGTCCTACATAATAAGACCGATATTTCTTTTACATGATTTTTAATAATATACTTTTACAATTAGTTTAATTTATATTATGTTATCAATAACTATAAAATTAGTATCATATAAAAGTATTTTAAAATACAAATATATGGTATAGCATGTATAATACTTAGCATAATATTACTAGTGTAATTATTAGTCAAAAATTTAGCGAGTTTGATTTTCATAGAAACAAGGACGCCCTATACTTTGTACTAGAGGGAGTATTTTTAACATGATGTGGCTCAATACATGTCAAGCTTTTGGTTTCAATTATATAGGGTAATGCACGCCAATAATGATACTCTACATAATGATGGTGCTAATATATATGTGCAAATATGATTAAGAGCAAAAAAAGAACAAAAAGCCGATGCCACACCTCCGGATCAAGAATCTCATCTTGCGAATTGTAGGCAGCCATCACAGACGGGGATGATGGTAACTCATTAATTCTCATCTCGCTTGGAAAGTCATTCTGCAAATAATTAGAAGCAATATAATTAGTTGTCCATAAGGTTTATTAGTGTGGATGGCTCAGTAAAAACACATGTTGATTTATCCTGCAGACCAAATTCAAATCTCTAACCCACTTCAGGAATCACAATCAATACATTGTTTTCCACGAGGAAATTAATACACATATAATAAAATGCTCACATCTGTCATAAATATTCAATGGTTAAGATAAGATAAGATTTGATCACACTTTTAAAATTTTAGCTTCAATAATTTCAAATGCGCAGTTTAAAGAGAAAAGAAATTGGTATGCATGCATATGTTTCCATTGGAAAGTACTATATTGTAATACTATAAACTTACAAAAATATATATATTTCGAATTAAAGTCACAAGTTGCTGCTAGCAATCATATACAGTTTAAAAATGAATTGTGAAGTACCTCCTGATCATCATATTTGGAGAATGATTTCAAAAGTTCTTTAAACTCTGGAAATTTGATGACTTCTTCTAGCCAAGCCTGTTAGACCATGTACATGTACAAGTACTCAATTAAGAAGAATTAGTTTCTGAAAGTACATTCTTTAGCAAAGAAAATATATAAAACATACATGACGCCTGATAAATAACTAATTAGGTTATAGTACCTGCTCCAGACACTGCAATGCCTCTCCTTGCTGAGCTTCATTTATAGGGATGGAGCTTGCCTGAGGATATCGCTGCAGATGGTTCCCACGTTTACGCAAGTGTAAGAATACATCTATATCAAATAAGTTATATTCACAGATCACAAGCCCTTATAATGAGCTTGATACGTACCTACATGTTTTTAATATGAGATAATCCAAGAAATGCCATTTACAAGCGTCCAAGTCCTAGAAATACCATCGACAAGTGTGAGTTCCAATAAATGCCATCGTACAAATGACTTTGTCCAAAAATACCATCGCCATTAGGGTTCCATCCATTCCGCGTAGTTAAGTTCTATAGGATGAACAATGTATTTAACGGCGCAAAATGGACGGAACTCTAACGACGATAGCATTTTTGGGACAAAATCGTTTGTGAAATGGTAGAATGACTTACATTGTGAAACGGAGGGAGTATCATATTATATATTCCAGTTAATCATTTGGCAATATCGTCTTGCCCATTCGACCATAGTACTTAACTAGTATCCCAGCTTTTACGTACAAGACTGTTTTTGGAGAATGGAGTATGTCTACGATCGTATCGTACGTGCAATGAACCCAGATGGAATTAGTAGGTACTTGTTCTGAATGCATTTGTTTCCTGAAACATACGTGCAATGCATGAGTTTCTAGTTAACCTAATCCAGTGCAGACTGAAACTATATATATACTCCTATTTGATAATAAGATGATGTAAACTCTAGCACAGTTGGCACATGCGTTCAGTTCAGTGTGAACACACTGTAGCCAGGGTTCCATTATTGAACCCCTCTGGATTAAATAAAGGGTTAGAAATACGTGGTTACTCCTATCTTAATCCCTCGTATGCTAGCTCTTTCTAGCCATCCTAGCTTTAAAGATGGTGTAAGAATGCTTTTATGAAAAAATACCCTTTTTTTTTGCAAAGATCACAAGCCCGTAATATCCGGGCATGATATACATATATATCTACACGGTTTTGGATATCTAGGCATTGACAATTCAATTGATCCAAGTATATATTTCTCTGTGATTTACCTTTTTACCATGTATGCCTCAACACGGAAAAAAAAACAAGGTGGAGAAACAAATGGTAAGCACATCCGGAACATACCTGACTTTGACCGTGAATGGTTATTACTTCGCCAGTTTGAAGCACATATAATGCATTCAAAGCTTCCGGCCGAAAATCAGGAAGGTTTACTGGAAACTGTTGTTGGTTGCGGGCATAGAAATCATATTGCTTCATGTCAACCGGGACAGCAGACTGTAAACAAATTAAGGTTGTGTTTAGATCTAAGGGTGTAAAGTTTGGCGTACCACATCGGATATACGGACACACATTTGAAGTATTAAATGTAGTCTAATAACAAAACAAATTACAGAATCCGCCTGTAAACCGCGAGACGGATTTATTAAGCCTAATTAATCCGTCATTAGCAAATGTTTAATGTAGCACCACATTGTCAAATCATGACGCAATTAGGCTTAAAAGATTCGTTTCACAATTTACACGCAATCTGTGTAATTAGTTATTTTTTTTTGTTTATATTTAATACTCCATGCATGCGTGCAAACATTCGATGTGACAGGGTGTAAAATTTTGCCAAGGATCTAAACAAGCCCTAAGAATAACTACTAAAAACAGAAGACATCTTTTCTTTTTCTTATGCTTGATATGGCACTTCTCCCAGCTGCACATATAGATAAGTTTTAAGCTACCTTTTATTACCAAAGATTCACTTTAAAACACACTTTGCTCTGTTTTTTTTTCATTTTTGCACCTTATTTCACACTTCCTTAGTCAAAATATAGCTATCACTCTATATATTGTGCAAGTTTAATGGTTTAGGTGACTGGTGAGAGAAACAAATCAGGCAACTATTTTTTCGTTTCCTTTATGTAAGATTCTGTCTCTGTTTTGGCTCTCCCAAAGCTGGGTAATGCATTTACCTGTTTTCAAAAAAAAATCAGGCAACTAATTAATAGTAAAGGCGCAAAACATAATGGAAAATGTTGAAAGAAAGTCTGTGTGCATGACACATACACACCTGACTCTGTTGAGTAATTACTGCTTCATTTTGTGAAACTTGTGAAGTATTCAAAATTTGATGTTTAGTGGTTGTAAAAATATCTGCATTGTGAAGATTGTAAGCATTACATGCAATAATAAATATTAATTTGCAAATAGTTAATTGACTATTATGTAAAAAAACAGGGTTGACCCTTTTAAGCTTTATCGTAACACAAGGAGAACAATAAATATCCTTGAAACACACCAAATGCATCATCAATCTAGTAATCTCTGTAGAATTATTCGGTCTATCTCTGGCCTAATGCATCTTAAACTTCATTCTTACCGAGATTTGAGAAGTCTTTAATCTGAGAACTTTCAATAGCAGGCTCCTGACGTAAACATGCCCTCTTATTCTCTTCAAACACCTGGGAGCCCTTGAGGGTACCTTTTCTTTTCACAAGCATTCTATGTACTACTGATAGCATATCATTCATCTTTTCCAGTATAAAATCGTCAAGGTCCTGGAAGGGTGCATGATTAACAAGTGTTTATTGTTAGAATGAACTAGAATTAAATAGATGTGACTTAATAAAAGGAGGGAGACAAAAATTTTCACCATAGGTTAATTATTCAATTGCTAGAAATAATTGAAGGATAAAACATCTTAAGAAAGAGAGAAATATCATTAGCTACAGTAAATAGAGGAAGTATATAATGAGAATAAAGTAATGGTCAGGAGAGAGGGAGGGTGGCGCTCAAGGTTGAGGAAGAAAATATATAGTGTGCGACACTGCCATTTGGGCCCCCATTACCTTTTTAAACTTTTTACTTACTGGACTACCTTGTAATGAAAGTTTTTGTTTGAGGGCAATAAAGTGGATGGTTTTCGAAGTTAAAAGGGTGAATATGTTCGGTTTAGAAATTTAGAGCTGTGTTTTTTTACTTCCATTATAGTTTAGGGGTATATGTCAAATGGATTTTTCAATAAAGTTTGTTAATTTTTTCTGTCTATATTCTCACCAAATAAAAAGAGTCTGGCATTTGTACGGAAATCCTTCCATTTATTCTCCCATTTCAGAATATGAAATGTTTTGATTTAATCCTAACTCAAACTTCTCTAAGTTTGACCAAGTGTATAGAAAAATATAATAATATCTACAACACCAAATCAATTTCATTAAATCCACCATTGATATATTTCTACGATATATGTTTGTTTGGTGTTAAAATTACTGTTACTTTTAATAAATTTGATCAAATTCAAAGAAGTTTGATTTAGAACAAAATCGAAACATCTTACATCTTAAAAAAGAGCATCTTACATTCTGAAATGGAAGGAGTGCCTCGATTGTGCTTGCTATGTCCTGGTGTTGTTGCAGCCATGTATCCAAACGACGAACAATAGTGTCACGCAAGGTAATGGCGCTTTGAATGTTGTTATAACTATGTTCATCAACAACTTTATATTTGCCCTTCATCTGTATACAGAAGAAGTTATGTAGAACTAGACTGAAATTAATTCAATGTGTGTAATATACGGTAGAAATATCACACTCCAAAATATCATGCCAGCTGAGATGATATTTGATTTGTAAATATGCTTAACTCCTCTCAAATATAAATGAATCACTGAAAGTTCAAATAGTTGCACCACCAAAGTTATTTGTAGAATGAATGTAAGCCCGCTGGAAGAAATATTACTCACCAGGTACTTGTGTGAACGTTTATAGTCATCTTCATCTTCAGAGTATTTCCCATTATCAGCATCTGATAGAGTGTGCCAATTAATGATCAATGTAGAATTCTTGACTAAATGCAGCATAAAACTGAATTAGTACAACATATCATTCCCACTCTTTACGGATGCAACACGCAAATAAAGTGACGCTCTGTCACTATAATTTCTAGTGTTAAATGATAGGTAGAAATATAATTTGTACGAAATACTAAATAGAATTTCTTAGAAAGTTAATACAACTATATATCTTGACCATTATCACTGCCGTTTGATTTGCTCTATTTCAATTTTCTTAATAAGGATATGCTTAGCTACCCAAAGTTTTTATTTCACGATATTTAAGGTGTTAGACATGAACCAAAGACCTCAGCCTTGAAATAAATCATCACCCCTGAGATCCAATAAACTATGACATAATCAAAAGAGTACCACCAATAAAATAAATCAACCCTAGGATGAAGTGAACCAGGAGCGAAACAATAGACTCCTGTTGGAAGTAATTAATTATTTTTTTCGGAACAATTAAAGCATACAACTTCCCCTGATTGTACGAAAACAAACTGTCGCAAATTGTACTAACTTGACAATTTAGTGTATGAACTTGTTTGGTGCATGTGCAGTGGCGGAGCTAGAAAGAATCTTAAAGCCGGACATAACTTAACTATATCCAGTATTATTTATAGAAATTCTATGGTCAATTCTTTCAACAGATATAACGTTAATGGAACGTTTGACGGCGAGCTAGAGCGGTGGCTCCGCCACTATGCATGTGAAATAAGGCCAAAACGGCATGCAAGCACCAATTTAGTCCCTGTAGATGTCTTTGCATAATAAATTTTTATTTTAGAGATGAAATAAAATATAATCATATGTAGAAGAACTATTTTGTAAAACACATGAAGGGGTATTTGGTAACAACATAAACAATACTCTATATAATAGAATAGAGGTGGGGTAGCAGATTAACTGTCATCCTCTCCCTCTTCACTCCTCAAGGATTCGGCCAAGGTCTTGGATTTGGCATCTCAAGCCTACTGGAACACCTGGAGGCGAAAATGCAAAGGGCCAATGGTGCTAGATTTGGCTCGGGGGACATCAGATTCGGTGGTTGCACACATGCATGATAACTGCTATTGAATGAGTGATAAATGAGATGGGCCCATATTAATATATCACCAAATTGGTAACAATATGACAAAATGAAGGGCGCTATGACTTTTTGTGTTTTTTTTTAAAAAAAATATTTATGTAAGAAATAAGAACTATAGTCATAATTGTCAAAGCATACATGAATTGCCGTATTGGGGAATGCGGTAGGGGATCAACACCCTTCTCAGTTTGGGGCTATCCAAAGGGCGAGCGATGCGATGGTGTACGATAGAATTTAGTTCACATACACATACATATATAAATACCTATTTTCTTCTGTTCGATTTGGGCACTTGGTCGTACTTGAATCTGCAATGGAAATGTCAGTAAATATGTCGACTAATATATTGAGAGAGTATAAATAACCACCCTTACGGGTCAAAAATTACAGCTAAAACGTTTGATAAAATTGAAAAGGTAACTTCTGCTTGACCGTTAGCATTTTTATGGGCCTAAATCCTAGCCCATCCACGTATGCTTGTGGATGGGCTCGGGTTGAGTCTCATCAAATTGGTATATATGAGAAAGAGCAGGACTAGGTTATAGGATGGTACCAAGCCTTAGGATACAAAATTAAAGAAGGAAAAACACACGTGCACTTTATATATATATGCATATAGGAAATTTACTATATATGCATCATGCTGCCCTAATCAATTTAGATAATTATTGCACAATCTGACTAAAGAGTCACAAAGCACATGCATTTATATCATCTAACTATATATATGGACGACAGAAATATCGGGAATTACCTGCAAACGATGTACAAGTGATTGAATAAGGTAGAGCATGGGGGATTTGTTGCTTTGATATACCAGGCAGAGAGCAATGCAAGGCAGCGAGTTCTGTTGGAATACAACATAACCAAAATGTTATAATTGTAGATCAGTTATCCAACTTATATTGCATTATATATTGGCGAAACTACATAAAATATATATATATATATATATATATATATATAGCTACTAGGAGAGTAAATAATAAACATCCATGCATACCGGATCTTCACTCAATGAGAGCTCGATCATGTTAAGTTTAAATGTAGCGTCGACGTCGTCTTTCTGAGATTTATTTTTCTTTGCATATAACAGTTTGCATATATCGACATGGCTCGTATTGTTGCTCTTGATCTTTTCTTTGAGCTCCCACTTGTGGTTGTTAAAGGTCTCCCTCAGAACTTTTTGCTGATTCCCAGGTCCTCGTGGCAAATAGGTCAGGAAGAGGATGTGCTGTAAATCTTTGGCAGGAGGGTTGATCGCCAACTGCGCATTCCACTGTTGGTGCAGAAGTTGAGCTACGCATATATATACGGAAGGATTAGTGGTGAATTAGTCATCAAGTTTCATCCGATCCACGAACGAACTAGAACAGTGGGCTAGCTATAGCGAGTATTAGGGCTTACTGTTGTCCTGGTCCGCAGCATTGTTGATGTAGAGACGAATCCATCCCAAATCTTGGCGAACTGCTGGGAGGATTTGCAGGAGGAGGAGCACGTCATGGAGCTTCAAATCTTTCTCCAGCTCGTGATAGTGTTCGGCCATATTCCTACACTGTTTCATCAGCAGCTCGAGCTCCAAATTCATCTTCCCCCTCTCCGAGACATTGATCCCGCACAAATCTTGTTCTTCCTTCACCATTTCGCCTCAGCTATCCAGGCCCTCGATCTAGCTTGCTTATTAGAGTCCCGGATTTCCCCTAATGGATGCGTCTAGCTTTGTCTAATCAGAGTAGAGGATTTCCCCTAATGGATGCGAATGCGAGAGCATTTGCATCTTATTTGCTCGGTTAAAGGGCTGCCGGCCTGCACCTCCCCTGAGGGAGAGGGGGGCACAGCGCGCGAGTTGCATCAACGAGTCTTCACTCACTCGGTCGGTGACCCCACACGGCTACGACAGACAGACGAACGATGCACCAATAACCTGATGATGATTGATGGGCCTCGTTCGGGGGTCGGGGAGGATGGGCTACTACTATTAGTCCCAAGGAAAAAAAGAGCAGCTTAAGTTAAGATGGGCCTAATCTCAGCCCATAGACAAATTATAATAGGCCAGAGGCCCAGTGAACAGTACTTATCTCTTTCCTCTTCTTCTAGCTATTCTTCAACTCCCTCGTCGCGGGCCGGCAACTCGATCGCACCACCGGATCATCCGCATGCCTTCTATTCCACCTCCTAATAACACGTACCTGAAGTAGCCTGATCAGGACGGGCTGCTGCTTCGCCATCTTTGTGCTTCGTAATTAAGTGAGGTAAGGTTCCCGGCCGAGAAACCTAGCTAGTCGTAGACGACGTACGGCAGTTCACATCGTCTCCGGACTGGAGATGATGAATCGAGGCACTTTCCCAGGATATATGCTAACTCTCCGCATATACATATACATATATATGCAGTACTGCTCCTGCAGATCAAATAAGAACACAAGGACGATCAAGATCGATGTTACACATAACTGAGCGAGGGGGGAAAAGGATTAACTGCAGAGGATATATACATGCAACGAGAGATGGAAGCATGCCTGCATCATAACGGCGCTGCCGTGCTTGCAGGCGACTTATAATTCCGATCAGTATAGATACACCGGTGGCGATAATAAGTGCGCGCGCCATGGCTTAGTTAGCAGGTGACGACGAATGACGATCCATGGCTAGAGCTTATGGCTTATATGATACTCTTCCTCCCCTTTGGCATATGACCCTTTTTTTTCTTCGTTGAGGCACACAATGAAAACAGCATCTGACCAAAGGTAGCATCTTGCAAGATCGCACTCATAACCTAACGTACTCCTCCGTCATAAAAAATACTACAATTCTAAGTTGTTTAGTGAAAAGCCGAAGATTAAAGTTTGAGGGGAAAAAAAAAGACTATAATGAACTCTATTAAATAGTAACTCCAAAGATCTTTGTGGGACAAAACGAAAATCATAGTGACAATCTTTTTGACAGAAATAGTACTGAGCAGTACTTTTCATTAAGGACAATCTATTGTCTAATTCTTCAATCTAGTGGGCCGCCTCCTACTACAGAAAACAGAAACTATTTTTTCATACCAAAAAAAAAATTCGTGTGCGGACCGAAGGCCCGTCTGCCCCGCGTGCAGGTGGCGCACCCGCACGGAAAAATACGGGTGCTCACACAAAAATAAAAAACCGAAAAAATCTCAAAAAAAAAGAAACCCTAGCATCCCGGTGGCGGCGGCGCCACTCCCGGCCGCCTCCTCCTCCTCCTCGCCGGCGGCGCACGGCGGGGGACCGGGATGGCGCCGCTCCCGGTCGTCGCCTCGTCGGCGGCTGTGGCGCCCGGCCGTCGCCCGAGGTCGCGCGGAGCCGCCGCCGCCCGCTACCGGCCGTCGCCATAGGTCGCGCCGAGCAGCCGCCGCACGCTCCCAGTCGTCGCCCGCCCCCTCACGGGCGCCGCCGGCTCCCGGCCGCGCGCCTCCTTGTCGAAGGCGGTGCCGAGCTGGCCGCCACTATCGCCGTTGTCGCCCGCCACCTCCGCTGTCGCTGTCGCCGTCGCCGCGGGATCCGCCATCGGCCGCTCCCGCTGCTGCGAGGGAGAGAGAGAGAGAGGAGGTGAGAATGAGAGGAGGGAGGAAGTGAGAAGATTAGGGAGAGAGAAACCTAGGGATAAGGTTTCAAGATTTTTTTTAATATGCTGAGAGGGAATGATAATAAGGTTAATCTTAATCAGATTTCTAGGCGAATCTTTCAGAGATAAACTATATTTTACTGTGCGTCGCTTAAGAGGCATGTCGGAGAAAACAGCCTATTTTTCCGTGCGGCTTCTGCGAAAATAAATTTTTATATACGAGTCTCTTAAGAGCCGTATACGAAAATAGAGATCGATTTTTACATACGCAAATACTTATGGTCCGTCTGCAACCCATTGAGTTGCTCGTTCGGAAAAATTATCTTCTACTTTATACTTCAACACTCATTCGTCCTCATGGAACGGTCCAAATCATGTGTAAAATCCAACGCTCAGTCTCCACCTCACACCTCTCAACCGCGCCCTCCTCTCCGTCCCCTTTCTCTTGCTCTCACGCGCCGCCACCCTCCCCAACCCTAATCTCTCCCTATCACGCGGCGCCACCGCCGTCGCCGCGCACCCTCGACTACCGCCACTCCGCCATTGTCACATCCGTCGTCTCGCCGCCACCAATTCCCACGCCACCGCTGTACTGTCGCCGCCGCCCTCAAATGCCGCCGCTCCGCCGTCGTCCCATCCGTCGTCTTGCCGCCGCCGGCTCGCCCTCAACCGATCCCCATCCTCGTCTTCGCAACCGTCGTCGTCCAAGATTCACGTCGCCGCCATTGATCCCTGCCGACGGCTTGCCCTCCAATCCTCGCCAGGATTCACGTCGTCGCCGACGCCTTCCGTCGCCTAGTCGCTACTGACACCTTCCGTGCAGATATGCTCCTCGACGCCACCGATCTCCGCTGCCGGCTCGCCCTCAACTGATCCCCATCGCCGCCGGCGTGCTGCCGGCTCACCCTCGCCAGCGTCTCCCCACAGGTTAGTCTCGCGCCGCCACCACTCGCATCTTCTCACCCTCGCTATTCCCAACCCTAACCGCCATCTCCCTGCCCCGAAGGTCTCCGGCGCGCTCCCCCAACCATCGGCGCTGCCACCGATCCCCGTCCGCCGGAAGCCCTCCCGTCGTCAGGTAGAAGATGATGAAATTGAAGTGTTGTCAAGTTCATCCAAGGTGTTTGTTTTTCTGATGGTTAAAGTGTAGTAGTACAAACTGTGCAAATAAAATCAATGTTTTCATCCCGTTCATATCCATTACTAGTTTACTACAAATTATTAGGACTTGATCTAGCCTGAGATAGCCAATGATCATTTTTTTCTCTTTCCAAGTTGTGCTAATGTATATATGTTCAAAATCACATGCCATTTGGGTTCACATTGTTCAGAATTATCTAATCTTTCTGTCATAGAGTAGCTGGACTGGCATTCATTTATAGTTACAATAATTCGTGTTATCAGTCCAGTGGTATATTTGGCATAAATCTCACATCTTAATAGCTCAAAACATATGTAACAATACTAAAATAAACTTTTTTTGAAGTTTTCTATTGTGCTTTAGGTATCTAATCGGAGTAGTTAAAGAAGAGGGCGATCTGCTTTCACCACAGCGTTTCGCGCGTTTTACGATCGGCGTGTTCGTTTCTGCGTCTATCCACGTCGCCTTTTTTTGGGTTTGACCCCCCGCGCGCGTCCGGGCGCTGTGCTACCGGAGGTGGAGGCCCTTTGAATATTGGCGTGTCGTGTTTTCCTACACCAGTTTGTCTGACTGGTGGGATTGTCATTTTGGTGGGGAAGTTCTATGTGTGATGGGTGGTTGAGGCCTTGTGAAAAAGTTCTATGTGTGATGGGTGGTCGAGACCCTGTGAAAACCGGCTGGGTGCTTCTCATTGTTTCCATCGGTCCACATCGGAGTAGTTAAATTTTTTTGATCCATGTGCAGCGTTCATGGTGGACCAGGTAGTTGCCTGTTTCTTCTCCTGCTGGTCTACCGTGGAGAGAGACCACCATGGGCACATTACGCTTCCCTAGGACTGATGTGTTGCTGCAGTGAGAGATTTCTTTTGCTCGAGTGAAGATTGCCATTGGCTTTGTGGACATGGTCCATTCTACGAGCGTGTGGTGGGCTGGGAAAAATAGAAGCCCGTCCATGCGCTGGGAGCACGCTTGGCTGGGCTTGTCCGTGCGTACGGGACAGCCAACGGTGGTTCGACAGTGTCTCCCATAATTCCCCGTAACGGTCTGTGAGCAGCTGTGCTTCACTGTGTCTTCATCAATGCCACCCAACTGCCCCCTCCCATTTCTGCTTCCCCGGTTTCGTTTTCTTTCCTTGGAAGCTTCGCTGCCGTGCTCTCCTTTCTTCCCAATTGTTTTCACTTTGTTGTCGTCCATGGAGACCGCGAGGTGAAATACGGCCAATTTTTTCTTCATTTGAAGGATCTCTTTCTCCCTGCTTACTGGATGGCTACCTGTTGTAGAAACACTTTCGTTGTTTGCGCCGTCGCCGTCGTGGGTGTCTAGGAGACGAAGGTATTCTCCGTTTAGACCCCGGCGACCTAATCCTTCCGTTCTTGCTGTCCCAAGGAGTTCTTTGTGCCGTCAAGCCGCCCTCTGGTTCTTCCATCCGTCGTCTTCAGGCCGTCAAGCCGCCCTCTGGTTCTTCCATCCGTCGTCTTCAGGCCTCCCCTTTTGAAGGTGATTCCTTGCTACGGTTTTACATCCTTTACTCGCTTTATGGTCTCCGCTTCCGTTATGTGTGTATTTATGTTGTGTCCATTGGGAAGAAGAGAGTGGGTAGTTGGGACGGACGTCGATGGTCAACGTTCCTCTTTTTTCCTTTTGTTGTCCACAGGCCAGAGCATGTATGCTATGGCTGTCCCTAGGATTTATCTGGTCTCCTCTTTCTTACGCCTTGCCTACACTTCACACACGCTCCTTCTGTAGTTCATTGGCTTGCTTTGTCTATTTTTTGAGTAGTCTCTCTGTGATTCGCAGTGCCAGGCGGGATGGTCGCGGTTGGGGTTTCCTTCGTTTCGTTGTTGAACGCGGCCGCTTGCCATTGCCGTCTTCCCTTGGTGTCGTACCTTTGGGAGCTGGATGGCGATGGTGTCTTGCTAGCTGGCGTAGAGCTTGCTCTGCCAGTCGAGGCGCCCAGTTGCGATACAGTGAGCAAGTTTTTTTAGGTGCCTGCAGCAGAGCCTCTTACTGTTTCTCATGAAATGGCTGCTCAGCAAGCTGTTCGTTTCCTACAAGCTAAGTACGATTTTGCAGTGCACGACTACAACTTTAAAATATTGCTCTCCTATAGGAGGATAGCGTCGTCTGCTGTAAACGCGGCTATCACGGCTGCTGCGTGTCTTGCTAGTCTAATCTAAAGTCTTCAAACCAGCCCTGAAATGAAGCTCCCACGGCATTTTGCGCTGGCGTGGACGCTCCCGCGTCGCGACACGTCAGCCCGAGCTGGAAAACGGTGGGATTTCGCGAGCTCTCATGCGTCTGCGTCGGCCCTTGTATTTTTGCAAAAAGGCCCTTTATTTTATTGATAATTTGTTTTAGGTACATGCTCTTTAGTTTGTACTGTGTTCTGCGTTCTTATGTACAGGGCCTCTACAAACTGCAATATTCTATGCAAAGAAGAGAAAAATCGAAAAAGAGGGGCACGCTCTGAATAACATAAAGTGAGGGCCTTTTATGAAAAAAATACAACCCAAAACCCCCCACCCCACCCAAACCCTAGCCGCCACTTCCCACCACCTCCTCTCCTTCCCTCGCTCTGCTATCTCCATGCCCAGGCCCGCCTCGCCTCCTCACGCGAGCCACCGCTGTCGCCGCACCATCATACTGTCGTCGCCATCCTCCTCTCGCTCCGGTCGATGCATCCGCCAACGAGGAGGCCGGGACCGTCGGATCCGGTGACCCCGGCCTCATTGTCGGTGGATCCGGCCGCCCGGAGGCGAGGGGAGACCGGCTATCACCCTCTCTACTCTTCTCCTTCTACGTCCGGCACCGCTACAACGACGGCCGCGCGGATCGCGTGAGGCAACGGGTGGCTGCTCCCTTCTCTTCTCCCTTCTATCTCCACTATTCCTTTGCAGATCGGCGGAGGCCTGCAACAACAACGGCCGCGCGGGCGAGCAATCGAGGAGGCCGGGAATCACCAGATCCGGAAGGACGGCGGCCCGATTCGGAGAGGGAGCAACCCGATCTGTGTCATTGAGGCTCATTGTAAGTGTCGACGGCGGCCGTTCCTTCACAGTGGTGAGTTCCAGGGGGGAAGGCCCTGCTCCCCTGCCCTTTCTTTCTTCACTCTCCCCCTCTCTCTGATCCAAATCTAAAGATGATGGGGAGGTTCCATGTTACAGATCCAGGGTCGTTGGGTCTGTTGAGCTCGGTATCGACGGCAGCAGTAGCTCGGGCAAGATGGAAGAAACGTGTTAGACACGGCCTCCTCCGAGAGCATACACCAGCGACGTGCAGGAGGCCGAGGCCAAAGCCGATCTTCCCCAACCCCATCTGGCATTATAACTTGTAAGTTTTTGTTCTTTTTGGTGTTCTTGGTAGACCAATGAAAATGGTGATGGTCTATCGTGCAAATTGATGAAGGTAGGGATGATATGATGTGTATATTGAGTATGAATGCATATGCACTTTTGCGTGTGTAGATGTAATACATGTTCTTGAGCACTTTACAGGTTTTGTGGTGGTGTTTATTACTGACTGACAAAAATCTGAGATGCATGTTCAGTTATTTACAGTGATACACATGAATGCGGATAGATAGAATGCTATTGTTTTTCTCTTCTATGAGACCTCTTAAGTACTAATCTATTGAATTGTTTGATACTATATCATATTGCATATGTATTCATCTATTTTGATTCAAAGATATACGAGATCCCAACAACGCATCCACTATCGACCAGGTACAAAAGCTTGATTTGTTGAATGCTTGCTTCCAGCAATGTATCATGCTCTCTATTTCCATTGGTGATGTGTAGGGATTGGGAGCAGATTCATTCGCAGGTCAGCAAGCTAGCTGAAAATTAGGTGAGAGGCGACAGTTGGTAGCGAGAAGGTCAGCCTGATGGTGCAGAACTCTGGCTTGAGGAAGACATGCTTCAGTGTTTCTCCATGCACCGACAACACTATCATCCTGCCACCACAACACACAAATCTGGCGATGCTTCCACCTGCATCTGCATGCCCCTGGCTCCCTGCATACAAGTATAGTCCAGCCGCTCTACAAGATTATCTGAGAAAAAATAGAAGAGGTGCTTTTCTTGAGTATCTATTGATACTTGCTATCTGTTGTTGACATTGCAGGAAAAAAGAGTATTCTTTTCCTGTCTCGGTAATGCACTTGGCTAAGAAAGTTGGTGGGCAGTAAGCTGCTCATGCTTCTTGATCACCAAGTTGCTCATGCTCCTTGATCAGAACATAAATGGTTAGTAATATAATTGTATTGTCCCTCCATACATCTATTAGAATTGTTTCCCCCCATTTTCCCATGGCTGTATGGGTTTGGGTTTAGGGTCGCCTCTAAAGCATTGACTGGTGGTGATTGAAACTAATTCCACGTTGCACATTCCTTTAGTTATTTTTTGGATCAAATCACTTTTCTAGAACAAATCATTTTACCTTTGATTATACTCCACCCCACTTCTCACATCTCACCACATTGTATTTCTGTGAGCAAGCATATATAAACCATGTATACAACCATACCTTTGACATGTAGTTTCTTATCTGTAGGTTAATTAAAGATGCACATGAGAAAGGCTCGATTATGCCTGGTGTTATGGTGCTGAATTGCTGATCAAAAAAACCGGTGGTAATGTTGTACCATTTTGGTATTGGTTGATATTTCACAAAGGTTGCAGGCCTCTTGCTATTGACAGGTGAAAACTAGGATCTCGACTCTAAGAAATTGTTAGAAACTAGAAACTTAAATGCCTCATTCAGGTTTTTCTGTGATAAATACTTTTCTATTGGTGCAGATGAGTGAGCAAACATGGATGGTGATGGTATTCTGACATCTCAATGTGAACCAGTCAACCAGGTCGGTATTCTATTGCATCCTTTTTCCCCTTACATTGTCTACTCGATATATTGTCATGGTTGACGATTTTTGATACTTTAGATTGCTGATTTTCAGTACAGAGTTGATCGCTAATCCATGTCATGGACTCTAAAAGCAAATGGTAAGCTTGGTGTGATGCTTGCTTTGGTAGATGGAGCTGAGTTCTTCAGTAATAGATGTGTTCATGGCCTTCAGGTGAAGTATTTCTAGAACTAATTGCACTGCTGCATGTTAATATTACCCTAAATTTCTGAACTACAACTCTCTGTCATTTGAGGAACCGAAATTCAGGCATTGCTATATATTACATGTGATTAACTGAGTCATTTTTTCTGCCATATATGATATATTCATATCAAGAATTTTATAGCCTTAAATTTTCTCTTACCCACGCAATATAGATTCGGTTTAGCCCATGTATGACTATGATTTGAAGACTGCAAATCGAGAAGTGAAGCCTTTGGCCAAATAAGACAGAACTTGACTATTCACTAAACTTTCATTTTGTTTGATTTATTTTGCAGGATTTTATGGCAGGAAAGCTCCCATAAGCTTCTTGGGCGGTGCCTACTTGAATGACTGGGAGAACCATCTAACAACAATATTTCATTAGGTTCACCCTTTTAGTTTGGATAGCATGATCGTTGTGGCATTTTAGCTTAATGTAATAACTATTTGTTCTTCTGTATTCCACCTGCAGGTTAGACTGCAGCAGTAATGAAAGGTGCTGATGATGGATCATTTAGGATATTGTGTGCTTTGCCAGCGTTTCAGGTTTGTTTGTTTACTTTGCAATTTGTGCTGCTGGTTGTGGACTGCACTGTGCAATCTTTGATCAATAGTAAGTGTAGAAAGTATGAACATGGTACTGTAGTAATTATTAGTATCTTCCATGTTTTTTTGGTAGAATTTGAACCAGTCTTTTAGAATAGGGCATACCTACAGGTTGGGTTATTATATGATGGGGGATACATACCAAATATTTTGGATGACCTCATTTGGATGAATGAAGAAAGAGAAATGCTTAAGCGAAATTATCTCATGTTATTTGGGCTCTCTGTCCCTCCAAGTAATGTTATATGCTGTTGATGTTATTTATGTTTGTCCCTTCAACCATATAGGTTTAACAGAACTATATCATTGTTTTTTTGTCAGAATCTGGAAAGTAATTTAGGCTTGAAAGTTACGAAATTCTACTAGAGTCGCCTTGGTCTCAGTCTTTAGTTTGATCAAGTTTCAGTAACTGTTTTGAGCACATTCTTCTTAGATGGATATGCGAGCAATTTAGCTTAACATCTTCAGTAGCTAGCGAAAGTTAGAATTTGTTTCTCCCGACAGTCGGTATTTGTTTGATACATCTGCTATGCTAATTTCCTACTTTCTAAATGTTGCTTTGATTTTGACTTCTCCATCTTAATTGATTTCGAAATGCTTTCACAAGGTCCGGATGCGGCATCCACGTGGGCAGGCCGTTACCATGAAGATCATGCCATCGGATTAGTTGTCCATGTGCATAGATCAAAGAAAAAAAGAAGGTACAGATGGCAAGTATATACTGAAGATCTATATCTGTGGCCTACTACAGCTCAACTGTTGTAAACAATACCTGTGATGCATCGTTCTTCCAAAGTTTCATAGATGGCCTTTGCATTAAATAGTATATCCATATCTTTTTTTAGTGAATAGTACTTGCAATTTTGAGTGTGTGCTTTCCATCTCATAAGGTTTCCATGTTTCATAATGTCCTCTTGAGTTTAATTTGAGTTTTCAACTATTGGAGGAACTATAAATAGCACTAGCTAAATATGTTGCACACGTGATTCATGTATTCAGCTCCTTTACTACCATATATAAGTTTTTGGCACATTGGATCTATGATTTTGCCACAGCAGGGTTAAAATCAAATTGCTCTGAGAGAATTGGACCTTGGATTTGGATATCCATCCAGCCAGGTCAATAGTATGTGACTCTTAGGCTCCAAAAAATAATTGGCGGTGATAGAACTTAGATTATGTCAAAAAATGACGAACTTGTACATTTTTAATTTTTCACTGTAAGTAGTTGAAGGTGTTTTCTATTTTTTTTCTTCGCTTCATCATTCAAAAGGTGTAATTTCTTCAGTATTACCATGTTTTTTTTAGGGTTCGCTATTACCATGTTGACATGAGTACTTTGTAACATGGCAAGTTGAGAGTTGAATTTCACAATTGAGAGTTGCTTACATTTGTAATAGTTTTAGTAATTTTGGAATGAACGTGCAGCTTGGAATGTATAATGTTTTTTGGTTTGAAATGCCAAATATATATGTATATTGGTTTATTAAAAAAACTTCAATTCCATTTGCACACTCTAGATATTTGCGACGCTTCAGTTATGTATAATTTTAGCCTTGCGCGAATCTTTTTGATAGATTGCTGGAGCTAAAGCACAAGCTTTACCCTTTTTTTCGAATAAGCTAGAAATAGCGTAAAAAGGTTAGTGTTAGAGGTTTACATATGTTTTGACTTGTTATTCTTGTAGAATTGATAGTCTTCTACCATAATGCAAATTCTTGTAGTTGCGTGTCTTTTTTCATGATTTAACCTGCTACACGAACGTATCAATGAAAAACTCACATCTTCTGATGCCACTGGCGCGGCGCTCAAAGCACGCGTTCACCTCTAGTTATATATAATTTTGAGATACCGGTCACCACCGACGCCGTCTTCACCACAGGTACTGCTTCATTTCTTCTGCTCCCTCCTTCCTCTTCTCTTTTTTATTCTGAACTTTATACAATCTTTCATGTGGTAGCTAGGTCTTTTATCTATACTTTCCCTGCATCTTATTGTTCTTGTTCTGAACTAATATATCTGGATTGGTGAGAGGTGAATGGTGTCCAGTTGTTTTCAAGGATTTTTTTTTTGAGTCCCACTCCGGTGCTTCTACTTGTAGTAGAGAGTAATCTACACCGTTGATTGTATTTGATTGAATGGTTGAGATTTAGGGCCTGTTTGGTACAACTCCAACTCCTAAATTTAACTCCAGGAGTTGGGTCTGGAGTGGAGTTGTGGAGCTGCCTAAACCCAGCTCCACAACTCTAGTTCATTTTGTGAGAGAGCTCCACCTAGCTCCACTCCCAGTTTTGGTGGAGCTGAAATTGTTTGGCTGAGCTCCAACTCCAGGAGGGGTGGAGCTGGAGCTGTGCCAAACAGGCCCTTACTTCTACTTCAACACACCTAATGGGAGTAAAAATGTGGAGGGATAATTTTGTCCATGAAAAATGTTGTGCGGAGTGGTAAAATGGTAATTTTCCAATTGCTAACCCTAGCAGGGTCGAAATGGATTGGCCTCGCGCCCGTCATCCTCCCTCGTCGCCTCAGCCGCCGCCCCCCTTCTCGCTGCCTCCACCACCCTCCGCCGCCTCCAACGCCTGCCCCGCCCTCCCCGACTCTGCGCCCGTCCCCCTCTCTCGCCGCCTCCGTCGCCTACCTCGTCGCCTCCACGCCCGTCCCCTTCTCTCGCCGTCTCCATGGTCATGCGGGTGTTCCGACCAGAGCCCATCGATGAGACACCGGAGCATGCCCGCGTTCTCACCGCCGCAAACTCGCCCAACAGCATCAGGTACCATCTTCTCGCCCCCATTTTCACTTGTTCATCTGCTACTTCAGTTTAATCACAAAATAAGACTGTTGCAAGACTGTTGCTGTTGCCTGTTGTCGGTCTGGTGGTGCAGAGCTTGATTTTTGGGGGGATGGGGCTCCATGAGCCTGCTATGAGTGAAGCCATCGTCCAATGATCTCTAATGAATTTTCATTAGTATTCCCCACAAAAAATTGAGGTGTTTGTTCCGTCAGTGTCCTACCTAGATAGTGTTTGTTGTTTTCCATACACGCATGGGGATGTGGCTCCGCTATATCAGTTACGCCAGCATGACCTTTTGGTGTGTATGCCTGAACAGTTTGTGGGGCTTCGGATTTGGATCCTAGCTTGCACTTAATTTGCTTTTAAACATTTGACCCCCACCTAAATGTGAGCAGATAGATATCCATAATCGAATGGAAGAGTTAAAATTAGTAAAGAAATTTAGTATTGAAAGTATTCGTTTTTATTTAGCTCTGTGGATGCATCCAATCCATATATATTATGATTGCCGGCAACTGCTTTTTGGCTAGAATATTTCTGTGACTACTTCAATAGCTAACAAACTTCTCCAATTGTAATCAGTCATCACTTGTCCAATAATACTTGATTCATTGCTTGAGATATTACTTGACCCAACTGCAATCAGTCATCACTTGATAAGATATTACTTTATATTGGTTAAAAATGTGGAACCATTAAAGTCCAAATTTTATTATCATATGGCACTTTATATAGCTCACCTAGCATGACAAACTCTATTAATTTCATGGCTGCATATGAATATCTCAGTTGCATAAGTCTACATCTAGCAATACAACAATTTCAGCATTTCAAATAATACACACCTTATGAAATTCTTAGACGCTTTATGAGTATCTGCATATGTACATCATCTTCATTCATGTTCAGTTTTTGAAAATTATTTAGTCAAACAAGGTCAGTAAAAAAATTGCCAGAAAACATCCCAAGTGGCCAGTAACCCCTTGCTCAGAGGAAGTAAATAAATTATGACCAGATTAGCATGTCCAGTCAATGAAGAAAATCTGGTCTTTCTGCACGGACTTTGGGTGTTCAGCCAGCAGGGCGGTGCAGTCTTGCAGAGCTATACCAGGTCTACTTCAGCATGAGGAAGCAGTCAACTAACAACGTCGGCGGCAAGCACATGCTGGGAATGCATGAGACTGTGTTAATCTTATTAAATTAAAAATTTAGTTTAGGGACGGCCTATACATCATGTGACAGATTTTTTAGCCTCCTATTATGCAGATTTTTTACCCTTTAGATCAACATCTAACGGATGACATCAATATACACAAACAAAATACAGAAAACAAACAAACGGGCCACGTGGACAATCTAAAGCTCATGTGGGCTTAAGTAGATTTCGGACTTACATCGTAAATACACTAAAATTACATATGTAGTTTTCAGACTTACATCGTATATATACTAAAATTACATATGTAATTAATATGTAATTATAGTGTAAGTAACTATAAAAACAAGTTAGCTCACTGAAAGGGATGAGTTAAAAATCATGTATTCGAGTCCTGGTACGTGTAAGAGTTTTTTTTTTCCTCATGTCATGCACGGTTCTAGCGTAGCGTAAATCTCAAATACATCCTACGGTTAAAAAAAGTGCAAGATTAAGCCATACAAAATCTGTCAGCAGATGGATAGCTATTCCGTTTAGTTCATGTTATGTCATTTATTTAGTGTAATTATAGTTATATATGTCCTTTGTATGCTTATGCTGCCATCGGCCAATCTATGCCGTTAGGATATGAGTGTAAGAACTCGGAAGCGGTGTATCAATTGAAAATCGGTTGATTTTTTTCGCACAAAACAAGCATATGATAGATAAATAATCTCTGATCTTCTTTTCAGCCTGCCTAATTGTAATATTTGTAAAAATAATAAATGGATACTTGAAAGCTGATGTTTGACGTCGGTTCCGTTGCAAAGGAATTAGAGCAAGTTTAGAAAGAATTTTGTTCAAATTGAAGACTCCAACGTGTTTGGTCAATTGAAAGCAATTTTGACGAATTATCCAACTTTTTACAGCTATATGGATTAATCACATATTTATGAGTGCGTATATTTTTTTAGAGCTATATGGAGTAATGTTTATGAGTAAGTATATTTTTATTAGTATCAAGACTCAATACTCTCCTTCAAATTTGATTCTCACTAGTAGGAGAAAGAAACTGGAGTGAAAACGGAGAAAATGAATCTCGTACGTACGTGAAAATGGAAAATGTATATCGCGTACAAACGGAAAAGAAGAGAGAACATTTTCATCGTGCACGAACGTCTTTATATTGATGAAAAACGGAAAGTCCCAGTTGACATACGGAACAATATGGTTAGTCCGAAAATTGTTTTTAACCAAAACAATATAAGTGGGCTCATATGTGTCGACGTTTGATGTCGCGATTTCAGTATTTGTATAGTATGGGGATCGTTGGGACTAGGATATATGCGAGACTGAGGTAAAAGAGATGGGACGAGGATTTTTATACAGGTTCGGGCTCCTGAATTGTCAGGTAATAACCCTACATCCTGTTGGCCGAAGCCGATATTGCTCTTATTCACCATAATTACACCAGTACAATGTTTGGGGTAGCCTATCTAACTGTTGTCGATATGGCGGTCTGAAGTTCTGACTCGTAGTCGATAACAGGGTAGTCTTCCTCCTCGAGTTTGTTTCAGGCGAGATCAGAGATAGCGCTTTCGTCTCTCCTGACAGTATCCGGAGACACCGTAGGGGACTAGCCGTGCTTATTCCTGAAGTCGATATCCGGCGTCTTTGTCTTGGCGTATGTTGGCTTGTATGTTGTGGCTTCTGTTGTTCCGTATATGTTGATTGTGGGTGTGTCCCCTCTCCTCCTAGGGGGCCTTGTATTTATGCTTATAGGTGTTCCTTTGTCCAAGTAGAATTAGGGAAACCAATATGGATACAATCTGAGTAGTCCTTTTCGTTTTCATGTAGAACTCTGGTTGTCTTTCCTTATCCGGAACTCCCTCTATATCCGAAGTCAGTTCTCGTAAAAGACATGGTATGTGGTAAGTCCTGCCGAAATTTAGTCAACTAATATTAGGTATGTGGTATCCATAACCCTCACAATATGCCAGCTTGTAATTTGGATAAATTCAGTCTAGAAATTAAGTTGGATCGTGCAAGTATGTGGATTAAAAACGGAAGTCCCGGTTTACATCCGGATAAATTCCGACAGTTATTATGGTTGGTCTGAAAGAAATTTAAACCGAACAATAAGTGGGCTAACATGTTTTGTCCTAAAATAATATTTATCTATTTTTATGCGTGCGCAACACTGAAAAACCATTTGTTTTTTTAATCGATCCGGTCTGAATAGACCAGATAGATTCCGGGTGTTGTACCTTTTATCCTAAAATAGTATTTATGTACTGTTACACATGTTTTTTTAATCGACCCGGTCCGAACAGACCGAACGGATTTTTTGTGTCACCAATTTTGTCCTAAAACGGTATTATATGCGCAATTGACCGAAAAACCTTCAGATTTTCTAAAATCGTCCTGATCCAGTTTGTTCCGGACTTTTTTTTCCAAAATAAACCGTTCAGCTTCATTCTATGCGCGGTGGACTGAAAAACCATGATTTTTAAAATCGACCCGGTCGAGACGGTCCTCGACTTAATATTTTTCTGTCCAAAATAAACTGTTCTAGTTTATTCTATGCGCGGTCGACCGAAAAACTATGATACATTAAAATCGACCTGATCCGGATGGTCCCGGACTTAATACTTTTTTTTTCCAAAATAAACCGATTTGCTTCCCGATCCAAACAGTCCCGGACTTAATATTTCTGCTTCATTCTATCCGTGGTCGACCGAAAAACCATGATCTTTTTTAAAATCGACCTGGTGATCCCGAACTTAATTTTTTTTTGTCCAAAATAAGCTTAATTCTATGCGCGGTAGACCGGAAAACCATAATTTTTTAAAATCGACTCGGTCCGAACGGTCCCGGACTTAATATTTTTTTTTTGTCCGAAATAAATTGTTCTACTTTACGATCGATCGAAAAACCTTTTTTAAAATCAACGCGATCTACACGGTCCAGACCGTTCCGGACTTAATTTTTTTTCCAAAACAAACCGTTTTGCTTTATTCTATGCACAATCAACCCAAAAACCATGATTTTTAAAAATCGACCCGGTCTAAACGGTCCCGAACTTAATATTTTTTTATCCAAAATATATGGTTCTGCTTTATTCTATGCGTGGTCGACCGACCTGGTCCAGACGGTCCCGACTTAATATTTTTTTCCAAAATAAACTATTCTACTTTATTCTATGCGCGATCTACCGAAAAACCTTGATTTTTTAAAATTGACCCAATCTAGACGATCATGGACTTAGTTTTTTTTTCTAAAAATAAACTGTTATGCTTTATTCTATGCATGGTCAACCGAAAAACCATAATTTTTTTAAATCTATCCGGTCCGGATAAACCGAACGTGTACCTTTTTTTTATTCGACACGTTCTTTTTTAATCCACATGAAACTACCTTAGTAGATGTTCGACAGTTTTTATTTTTGACCAAAGCATTCGATTTTTTTTAGCCGCATGATCCAACGTCAACGGTGACTGTTAAGTGGCTAACGGGTCCACATCGAAATACGATCTGGGGGAAAAATAGGAAGTTACGGTGAGTTACAGTCCAGTTACAGTTACAGAGTTATAACTTCCATGTAACTGCATATAATTAGTACTCCCTCCGTTTCATTTCAGGTTATAACTGCTTTAAGTTTTACCAAATTTGTAGAAAAAATAAGTAATATTTTTAACCCGAGATAAATTTATTATGAAAATATATTCAATTATTGATTTGATGAAACTAATCTAGTATTATAAATAGGAAAAAGTACGAATTACCCCCTGAACTATTGGGTGAGTACGAATTACCCCACTAAACACGAAAACCGAGCGTTTTTCACCCTTAGTTATCAATACCAGATGAACCCCCCAGGCCCGAACAGCTTTGCAAGCGGTTTTGGTCTACGTGGCAGTTCAGTCAGCAATTATTTTTTTTAAATCAGCGGGCCCCACCTGTAAGTCTCCCACACTCTCTTTTTCCCTCACCTCTCTCTCCAAAATCAACTCTCTTCTCCCTCCCTCACCTCGAAGCTCAGGGCGACAAAGGGGGCCGCGGAGCTTGGGGCGGCGGAGGGACAAGGTCTAGACGACAACGGGTAGGGTGGGCAGCAGGCGGAGCTCATGGCGGTAGAGCTCGGGATGGTGGCGTGAGGAGGGGTAGTGGAGGGGACGGTAGAGCTTGGGGCAACGGAGGGGGTGCTCGCAGCCGCCGGCGCTCGAGACGATAACGGGTGGAGCTTGGGGCCGAGGGAGCAGCGGAGATCGGTGCGGCAGTAGGAGGGGGCGGCGGAGCTCGGGATGGCGGGAGGAGGGGGCGGTGGAGCTCAGGGCGGCGGGAGGAGGGCGCGGAGGAGCTCGCGGCGGTGAGAAGAGGGCGCGGCGGAGCTC